ACAACCACGGAAGCTGCAACAAGAGCTCATACTTAGCAGCTACAAAATGGGACGTACACACAATGTCACTGAGTACAGACTCTAAGTGCTAGTAATGTTCCATGGCAAATGGCTGGAAGCTCAGAGAGACTCGGTCCTTTCTAACTTGTCTGAGGTGGCCCAGCTCCTCAACTGGTCATAGGTAAAACTGAGAAAAAAGATGACCAGCCAACGGCACGGTGTACCCTTAGAGACAGCTATCTCTAATTTCCTCATTTTTGTCGCTTTCTAGGCATTTGTAAGAGTTCTCCTGCACACGGCCCCCAGTGAGGGGCACCACCAGCCCTCACACACAGTCCTCATCTGCAGTGGCCCAGAGAAGCACGTGAGATGAGTTAGCATGACAGATGAAAAACTGCAAGTCGGTATGGCTGGATTATGTCCTGTCCCCAAATCCATGCATCCTAACCCACCCCTGGCAGAATTTGACTATATCTTCAGAAAGTTTTTTTTTAGAGGCAATTCAGCTAAAATGGGGTCACAAGGGTGGGCTCTAATCCAATATGACTGGTGTCCTCATAAGTGGACATGGAGACAGACACAGAAGGAGGACCACAGAAATTCCCATGAGGAAGATGGTCACCTACACGCCAAGCAAAGGCTTGGAACAGATGCCCCTTGCTGCCTCAGAAGGAAGCTGCCAGTACTTCGATCTCAGGCCCTGTGCGCACGTGTACAGCTTGTTTTTTATACTGACTAGAGAGCTCAGGTCTCCAAGTTTAGAGGAAGAGCTGCTAAGAACTGTACCAAGACCAGCAGCCACGCTCCCCTCCACCCCTGGGCAGGTGAAATGGTGCTAATCTACTCATGGCTGCGAGCTGGGTGTCAGGTGTGGACCCAGAGGACAGGTGTCATAACTCTCCCCATCAGACTCACCACCTGGGTGGCGGCCTGCAGGAAGTCAGGACAAGGATGGAAGGCAGAGCAATACTCCAATCACAGGGACCGGACCTGTGCTCTTCAGAAGCAGCAATTGGATCTCACCTCATTACATCTGAAAGCGGTGGACTTCAACCCGAGCTGATCCTCCCCAAGTCCCCACCGAACTGAAGGGCTTGGCCCCCAGCCCACCTGCCTCCTTTTCACCCCAAGGGGCAGGAGCTCAGGACTAGACCACCGTACAGAGAAAGGAGTGGAGAACATGGACTTGGTAGACCCTTTCCTGAAGTTGTCTCTCGCTTCATTCTCAATCCACATGTCACACTTTACTCTCCACAAGACAAAGACATCCCTAACATTTCACCAGTTTGATTTCTGCCATTTCCAACCTGACGAATCTTAGCTGATACAAGTCCTCACCAGTTATGTACTTCTGAGTAAGATTACACGCGCAAATTTTATCATACATTAGCAATACACAATTTTTGAATCATGCTCTCTTCCAAATACTGGCTGAAATGATCTTTGTAGTGCTAGAAATGAACCATGCAACACTACAAAATAATTTTTAAAGCCAATCACAACACAATTTAAACTACAAAGTGGATGTCAATATTTCATGGGAACCATTGTTTTGAACATATTCACGTTCTACTGAGCTCACAGCCACACTAAGTATTTTAGAATTCCTATTTTGAAAATGCCTCCTGGCAAGTTATTCATGTTTCCCCTGTGTTTCTGTTAGCCATATATGACATCTGCCACAGAGGAGACCAGGTTCAAACTGACACCCAAGGCCATGGAGATGCTAGAAGAACATTCTAAACTGACTCTAAAGGAAGGTAAAATAGCAAAGACAGACAAAAAAGTTCTGATGTCAAAACAACCACTTAAAACTCAAGGAACATTTCAGCATTTCCAAAGTACCATTTTTTTGTTATTGAGAATAGCTAAAAAAATTAAAAATTTTTTAAAAAACCCACTTTACAGAGTAATTTTTATACCAAGTTCCAATCTGGGATTTTATTCTTTAAATCAGTTTATCAGGTCCTAAAAATAAGGAGCTAAAAGGAAATCGGATCTGCCTGTCCTCTTACAGGGATCCTCTGCCGTCTTCTAGCAATGCAGGCTCAATGCTTTCCAAGGAAGGGCGCACCCGCTCCGGGGCAGCCTTAACCACACCTGTCCTCCCTGCCCCACCCGGACACCCTGGTGGTTCCTCCCATTCAATGCTTAGCTAAACAGGTGCTCACGAAGGAAAGAGCGCTATTAGTTTCTGTCCAGGCTGCCCGAGGCAGCGAGGCTCCTCCGGCTGCTCCGTCCCAGGTGCAGGTAACACAAGAGGTCAATAATGGCACACACTGAAACGCAGCCACCACACTCGGTCACGAAAAGACATGTTCTTGAGGGAAACCTTGGACCAATCTGATGAACCTTTCCAAAGAAGGTTGAGAATTATGTCACTGGTGTCCCAGTAATTTCATTTCCCTGATTTCTAAACTACCGAAGTTTGAAATTTGAAAGCTAATCCTGAGGGTTTATTAGCTAATTAAAAGGCCAGTATCTTTCTCAACATAGCAACAAAGTTTACTGCGTATTTCATGCAAAGCAAAAAGGACCAAAAGAAAAACACATTCCTCTCTAGGATGCCGCTATACCCAGCAGGAGGCGGTTCTGTACAGCTGTAAGTACGCATTGGTGCACCAGCACCCTACAGCAAGTCAACGTGAGATCTGGAGGCAGGGAAGATTAGTTCTGAGACAATGTGAGAAATTTCTCTCTGTAGCCCTGCATGGCTGCCCTTGTTTCAAATTAGTTTCTGTCAATTCACCCCCTCTGATGTTATTCATTTTATTTCCTTCTTTGAAGGCTAAACAGTGCCCCAAAACTAATCTAGGGTACAAAAATGCAAACACAAGTGCCATTTGTCATTTTGTCAGCAATTCTTGTGATCCCTCCCCTAAAGAGGACAGAAACAGGTCATTAGACAAACATTCCATTATCTCATCCACAAGCGCAGGGTTTCTAGTCACGAACTAGCAGCTGATGAGCGCCGGCTCCGGCCGTGAAGACTCAAGACAAAACAGGAGCGCCCTTGCTTTGCTGTGTGGGGTCTCACCTGAGAAAACGCACTGCCCACGGCCCACAGGTGCCGTTACCCACGTGCAATGTCTTACAGCGATGTTTCCAACACCAGCTGAGCTTTACGGCCACCTGGAAACTTTCTACCACGCCAGATGCCCAGTATGTGCCCCAGGCCAATGAAAGGGGTTGGCGCACTGGAGCAGGGAGCTGGGCACCAGCAGTTGGTAAAGATTCCCCAGACCTAAGAACCACTGTCTTCGTGGGATCTCAGCACCGTGGAAGCAACAAGCTCACGTCAGCTGCAGAAAACACACAGGCAAGTGACTAACACTCATTCAATATAAACCAAAACTTTAAAAATAAATGTGACCCAGAGGTCACATCAGATAAATCTGATCCAGGTAAGGTGAATGGCTAATGTTAAAATAAGCCAGACACAGCCAACACGCACAGCAAACCGTCTGACTTACCCAAACTCCAGCTTCCTATTACAGGGTATTTTTTAATTATTAGCAAGTTTATGCCACAGTCTTTTAGACACTAGTAACTTTATGCCATTAGCTGTCTTCCAGTTTTGTAAAGGTGCAGGGAGGAACAGAGAAAAGCCCTAAAGGCTGGTAGAATTCTCTCTCCATTTAAGACTCAAAGCTCCCCAGAGGGTTTAGAGCAGGGCTTTACCCACAGTGATCGCCTGCAGTCTCTCTGCCACAGGCACATCAGGAAAAGAAGTGTGACAACCAGCCAGGGCTGAGTGAGGTTGCGAGACACATTTATATATTTCCAAGTTCTTCTGAAGTGGAGTCATATCAGCTTATTTCCAAGGCCACTGGAATACTAACCCAAGACCTAACATTTTGATACAAGAATAACTCACAACTACAAAAGCCAGGGCAGCCGAGGAGGGTTCCGTGACTTCCAGGCAGAAATCCCAGGTATAAACTTCAGGTTATCTGTTAGAGAGGATAGCTGCAGGCAGACTGCTGGTGACCCAGATCAGGAAAATGTTCTTAAAACACCTGACAGATAACCCACAGGCTTTTGCACCAAATAGAGGTGCAGAATCTAACAGCCCAAGATTCTCACCTGAAGCTGCATATTAGAATCACCTTTAAGAATACAGACACCCAGGTCACACCCCAGACCAAGGAGATAAGGATTGTTAGGGACAGGCAAGCAAATGGCATTTTTAAAGAGTGGTTTTCACACCTTAGCCACATCAGAGGATGCGTGCAAAAGGGATGTGAAGCCAGGATGGCTGCACCACCCCAGGGTTCCCATGCTGGTTCTGCCAAGGGGACCTGTGCCTTCCTCACACATTCCCAGCGGGTGCAGGTCTGCTTCCCCAGGGAGTCCCGGGGAGAACCACTGCTTCATCAGTGTAGCGGGCAACTCTAATGCATGCGGCCAGGACTGAGGACCACTACGCTACAGGACCAAGTGAGCTCTGGCCAGGGCGTCAGGAGAGAATTCTCGTCCCAGCTCTGCTATCAACCTGGGGACTTAACAATAAATAAGTGGAGTTTTTTAGGCCTCAACTTGTTTTTAAAATAGAAAATTGAGGCACTATGTAAATGAGATCCAGGGACCCTGACAAAAATAAAATGATAACACTTCCAGTGGCCATCTCTCATGAAATTTGTTTAGCAAAGGAAGTGTCTGCCGTGAGGTACAAGAAAAGCTTTAAAGTACACTGACATCCAAATAACTACATTCCCGCCAGCAGGCCACACACACAGGAGTGTCCCACAGATCGCGCCACCTCGTCAACTGGTGACATCATAGCCATCTTAGCTCGAGTGTGTACACTGCCTGGTGTTCACAAGAGGAAAATATCACCTAAGGACACTTTTCAGGGCACGTGTTCTTTCCAGTGAGTGACACGTGATGGTACGGGAAGGCATGTCCTCACGCACAGGATTTCAGCACACTCAGGGCCACACGAAGGGATGCGCTGTGCATGTATGTGCCCCATCCAGCATCCTGTTGCCCGGACTCACCTGTCAGCACCTTGCAGAGCTGCCCAGGGACCTGGGTGTCGGCAGATGGGCTGGGTTTCGAGGACCATCTGCGCCTGATCAGATGCTCTTGTCCACTGAATGGGGCTCCGGAAGTGTTGAGGGGTTGGATCAACACCTGCTCCTGCCCAAGCTGGATGAGGCCCACCTGCCCAGAAAGGAGAGGCAAACAGGCCATGAGCCATCCTCACTCATGCCCGCCCGTGGCCAGGAGCCTGAGGGCAGCAGGGCCACCTCACTGTGGCCCCGTTTTCTGTATGTGATCCCCGCCTCCCTCTCTTTTTAAGACTGCTCAGATTTACTGATCCCACGAGTGAACCTTAAAGTTCACTAGCAGACTTAAAAATATTCCACTGGCAGTTGAGTTGGGGTTTGGGGAGGAGTGCCAAGATACAGATGGGGTGCAGAGATGTACATAAAACTATCAATATCCCACATTAGCCTTCAGGAATGATGGGTTACTTATCAACTTTTAAGTGTCATTTAAAAATTACTATTAAAATAATCTTCTTAAAGGTCCATTTGAGAAGGCCACCCCAAAATTTTGCAATGAAAATTATAAATAAGAATAAGAAAAATAGAAAAATCTATCTTAACCCCGGAAATCCTTAAAATTAAATACAAGGACATTAGTTAGATGTGGAGTATTAAACCTTTGCACAGCAAAAGAAATTACCAATAGAGCAAAAAAACAATCCACAGAGTGGGAAAAAATCTTAGCCAGTTGTTCCTCAAAAGACTGATGCCTAGAATATACAAAGAATTGAAAAAAATTAGACTCCCTCAAATTTAAAGACTCAACCCAAAATCGGGCATCTGAAATGAATACACTTCTCTTAAAATGTAGAAACAGCAAATAAATATATCAAAGTATGTTCAACATCACTGGTCATTCAAAAGATGGAAATTAAAACAATGCTGAGATTCTGTCTCACCCCAGAAAGGATGCTATCATCAAGCAATCAACCAATAACAAGTGCTGGAGGAGCTGTGAGGAAAAAGGAATCCTTCTCCGCGTTGGTGGGAGCACAGAATGGTGCAACCACTATGGAAATCAGCGTGGAGATCCTTCAAAACCTAGCATTACCTATTCCCCTCCTGGGTATCTTTCTTGAAGAATTAAAAGCATCACCCCACAGTGATATTTCTGTACCCATGTTTATAGCAACAAATTTGTAATAGCTAACTAATGCCCATCAGCCAAGGAATCAATAAAAAAAGATGTGGGATTTTTTAAATACAAAGGAGTACTACTCACTCATAAAGATGGATAAACTTGAGTCATTTCTAGGTAAATGGATGCACCTTGATACCATACTCTTAAGTGACACAAATTGGACATTTGTATAAAACGATACTGTTTCTCTGGTGGTTCTTATACCAATAAGAACCGATATTGCAAAAGGAGGAACAACTGGCTAAGAACAGATATTGCAAAAGAGAAGGAAATTGTTCAGAAGAAATGGGAACTAAAGAGGGGGAAGGGAATGAAGAGAAAATATGATAAAAGTAAAAATAAATAAGTAAAATAAATTTAATTTGAAAACTGGTAAAAAGCAAAAAAAAAAAAATCATTTTGTGAGGAGGATGCACATTTTCTCCCAGAACTTGTAGTATTTAGAATTGGCAGAATATATAATGGATTAGATCTGTGATTCTAATTTAAAGTACATCATTTATTCAGACTGATAATTTACCAAGTTTATAAACAGTATTAGAATGTGTAAGAGACCTCAGGCCTTCTCATACTAATAAAGTGAAGTTATTAGGTTTATAGAAGTGGCTTAAGTACTACAGAAGGTTGTGTTTTAATCCAGACAATCGAAAAAACATGAAATTGAATCTATTAAATTTCCTAAAGACGGTTTTCAATGTTTGCAATTGTGAAATGCCAAATTCATGAATGGGGCTAAATAGGATTCAAAATCCCCTTAAAAACCAATTGCGAAATGTAGTAAATTATAAGATTACTAAATCGAATGAAAAACTTAAAAACTTGGATTTTGTCACTTTAATAGACTAAATGTTAACTCTGGAGAAAAGAATAATAGAGACCTTTGCCTCTCCTTTGGAAGCAACGCTAACAGCATTAAACCAATTCCCCTCCCTGCCCTGCTACTCAACAAACAAGCAAACCTTGCAGGAGAATGGACTTGGAAAGGGCAGGACTGGTTGTACACACACTGTCCCCTCTCCTGGATGACACCCTGGCTAGCATGGATTCTGCAGACTGAATTGACCAGATTAGGAGACCATGCTCACCCTTTTTTTTACATTAAGGTGCAAAAGCCATGACATCCTGAGCCAGTGATCCTCGAACCCAAGCATACACCAGAATCACCAAAGGTCTTTAGTGGGACTCAAGACTGGGCATTTCTAGCAAGTCTCCTGAGTGACAAAATGCTGGTCCAGGGATCGCACTTGAAGGCACAGCACTAGAATTCTTCTAACCTCAAGGACCACACTGATCTGACTCAAGCTAAAGGAGATAGTCTGCCTCTACTTTCCAAAGGATGCACAGGTACCAGGCCTCCTGCAAAGTAACAGATTAACCTCCAAGATCACCTACATCCTTTAGTCCCCAAGATACAGGAAGAGGCCATACTTAATGTTCCGAGCAGATTGCAAGGTTTGTTTCATTAGAACTTTTGCCAAGAACAACTCACAGATTTTACTGCCCAAATAAAACTATCTCAAAGTGGCACTGCATGACCTGCAGGAGTCCAGCTTCCTTCCCTCTCCTTTGAAGTGAAAACTTGAATTTGTTCATTGATACTTTGGAGAGGTTGCAGAGATGGAGGCAGAGTGGGGCAGGGGTGCAGAGCTCTCACTACAGAGTGCAAAAGAAGCCAAAGTATCAAACGTTCAACAGGCAGCAGAAACCTCCACGGTCCAAAGAAGCCGGGCAGGTTATGGCAGTGCACAGGAAGGAGACTGGTAGCTGAGGGATAAACAACTCAGAGACACTGCACGCCTCTGGAAGCACCCTGGCTGTGGGAGGGCAAACCCAGTCCCCTCCCAACCCTGGCACTTCCAAGGCCTGTCACCCAATCAGCTTAGTCTTTGCATTCACAAGACCCTGTACAAAAATCAGTTCGAACGTTATGAGATTTGGAGACCAGGAAGGCTCGGCTTGGTGAGAAATCCCACACAAACATCCACGGAAGCATAACCAAGCTCCTCGGGGAGATTTCTTTAGAAAGACTCTTCTGGATAGTTCCCCATACGGGTTTCCATCCATTCAGGCAAGAAGACAGCAACGCCTCCGAGAGGTGGCCAATGGCACCTCCCAGCAGCTCCATCCTCCAGACCCTCTTGGGTCCTGACCCTCGACAGGGACATGGCCAGGACTTGCACGCAGGCTCTTAGCCTGGGGGGCCAGCACATGCATAGCCTCCTGCCATGTCTCAGTCTTGCTGTCTTGGGGCTCCCTCAAGTGTCTCCAATACTCACCCTGTCCACACTTAAGTGATAAAATGTTGGGATGAAAAGTGTCACTTGTCCCAAAATACATACACATATGTGTCAAAAGTTTTTAAGTGCTACTTGTGTCTCGCAAACATTCTTGCCCCTTAATACCTGCATGCCTTCTTACCCCTCTGACCTCCTGGATGCCCATGCAGTACACCCTGTGCTGTCAGATATCCATAGGACCTGGTGGTTCTTTTTGAAGCAGGATTGGAATCACTCATTTTCCCAGTGGCTGCCACAGCAGATTTATTTGACAAACTATGAACGGACCAAGCTTCTCTGGAACAGGCTGTCTGCACTGCTCCTTGCTCTGTGGTTCTCACCTGAAGTTGCACATGGGTATCACTGCGGGACTTTTGAAGATCCCTGCCCCATGCCCAGGCCTCACACCAGGTCCTCTGGGGTCACAGCACAGGCCCTGGGACACTCATCAGATGTCAATGTAGCCTAAGCTAATAAGTAATCTCTGCATCTGCCTAACACCAATATAAGGGATTGAACCCATGGCCTCCACACTCTGCTACACCCTCAGCCCTGTGTTTGCGATGAGGACCCTGCTAAGTCACTGAGTTGTCCAAGCTGGGATCAAACTTTCGATCTTCCTACTTCAACCTGCCAAAGTGCTGGGATTACAGATGTGCACCACCAGGGCAGCTAGCGTTAGCTCTTAACAGAATGCCGGAGACCCTGACCACCTACTGCCTTCATTTCAACATCTGAAGGTACCCAGACTTGGAAGCTGGGCCTTCCTCTGACCATGGAGCTCTGCCCACCACCATGCTTTGTAGTCCATTCTGTCCTATGTCCACTGGGACTGACCAAGGCTGCCTGGGATGGTGTTACCCTTAGTAGCCATCGATGCTGAAAACTGAGACCCATGGGAGCACTCCTCAAAGGCCTTCTGTGCCCTGGTGACAGCAGCAAAGACACCAATTATGAGTCTAGGGTGGGCTACACCCAATTCAAGAAGCCTGAAAATACCATTCACAGACAGAGCGCTGGGAAGGAATGAATGCCAGGGAGACAGAGCCAGCAGTCCGCAGCTACTTGGTTTTAAGAACCACAATGTTCCCGAGAAAGATGGTGCTCTTAGAAATCTTAGTTTTGCCCAACTGACGATCCTACAGGAAAGAAATAGGGATCAAATAAAATGTATCGATATAACCGAATATATTAGGAGATCTGAGCAGTTGGCGTCTCACTATCTTTGTTCTGGGACCTAGCTTTGTGGAATTTCCGGACCATCTGAAGTGTTGACTCCACCCCACCCTGCAAGGGGGGCCAGTTCTCATTCCTACTCAGAAATGAGAAATGTGCAAAAGATGGGTTTTATAAGCTCCTAACATGAGCATAGCCTCTTGACAAAGCAGAGCAAATGTGCTCACAATACTGTAGAGAAAATCTCTGGAAGCCAAGGGCACACCTGGGTGGGAGGCGATGGTTCTGTTGAACTCACCTTCCCACAAAAGCCCTGCTGGGACTTCAGTGCCCAGTGCACCTCCGAGCCGCTCCTTGGGACGCTGCAGCTCCACGGCTAACCAGAGTGGAGAGGGCGAGACACAGGGGTAGTTTGGGAGGGCAGAGCCAGCAGAGAGTCTGCTTCCTGGATGGGCTAGTGGGCTTCTCAGGTGAGAAGGCAGCCCCATGGCATAAGCCAAACTCTGCACCTGCTGCTGG